TTTACTAAATAGGTGCTTTGCGTAAGCTAATAACGTACAGTAACCGAGAAAAGCAACAAATAATAATAAATATGATGCTTCATTATTTGTTTCTGCATCTGTCTCTAAGTTATATGCACAATTTTGTAGCGCTGTTTCGCTGTTTAGTGCTGATTAATTGATGCTCATTACACACACACATATATATATATATACNATGATTTTATATAAAATTTTATTACATTAGTTGGGTATCCATTGTTTTTTATCAAATATATATATATTATTTTTTTTTTAAGGTTTAATTTCATCTTTTGTAAGACACAGTGAGCGAAACAAAGAAGCGGACAAACCTAAAATACTTGTGTGATAATAATCGGATCTTCACGTTCTACGTCTCAATCTTATTAGCTCAAGGGGTGACCTCAAATATCATAATTATTCAAATATGCTAATTATTCAGTGCAGACCATATTTTAAAATATGAAATCAGTTGCAAAAACATACTTTCCCTGACTAAACATACCTTTTTTTCGATGGATTCTAATTTCTGACCCTCAAAATATAAGAGGGAGCCTCAATCTTTTAAAAAATGGTCCCAATAGTTTGTTCAGAAGAGAGGTCTAAAGCTTGGACCACTTAATGTTTATTTTACATTTTGTGTATTTCCTGTATCTCGAGAAATTTTGATGGGAATTCAAAAAAAATTTCAGCTCAATTATAGAATTTATTTAGCCAGAGATACCTCCATGCAAAACATAGGTTTTAGTAAATATTTATTACTTTATTTAATAATATTCAAAAAAAAAATTCGTATTGCAAGGCAGAATTTTTTTTACAAAATTTTAGGAAGGCAATTTTAAATGGGAAACTACAAAATTTGAACGAAATCGGTAGAATAGAGGAATCGAATTTTAAATATACGACATTTTCAAAACTATCATTTCATAGGAGTACAAACTTTAGACAACTCTCATGACCAAGCTATTGAGACCATGTTTACCGGATTGGAGAAACCCCTATTTTCTGGGTGTCAAAAATATGAATCCGTTGACAAAACATTTTATTTAGAGAAAATACGTTTTTGTGTCTGATTTAGTAACTCAAAATACCGTCTGCACTAATTAATTTGTATATTTGAAGTCCTCGAACCATTAAGAATGAGTCTTAGAACGCGAAGATCCGACAATTAGATCAAAGGTTATTCAGGGAGGTCTGTTTTTTTCTGGGGGGTGGGGTGGCACTGTACATGTCTATGAAAATCAAGAGTATTTTTATTGAAAAATTTACTTTCTTAATAAAATATTTTCGCACTACTTTTGTTGTTATTGTTGCTTATCCTCACTGTCTGACGGAGTCAGACAAGATTCACGAGTTCGTTGACTGTGAAGGAAGTCGAAGACTAGGAGAGGATTGCTAAAGAGATCCTCCTTAGAGAGTCCCCATGCAATCGAAGAAGTGCTCAGGAGAAGCCTGATGAATTTGGCACTTGGTGCAGGTTACGAAGGTTTTCCTGCCCTCGTTGAAAGTGAGGCACTTGATGCACTACTTTTAATTTATTTTAATGTAAAAAATTATCGTATTAAGAACACACACTTTTAATCCCATTTGATCAGTTATAATATAATAAATTTAATTTATAAAAAAATGTGGATCATTAAATCCTTTTCAATTAAATCACTACTCCATGTAAGAATTAATGTCTCATTTCCGTTCATATTACATCCATTTGGCTTTAATAAAGACAGTTTTCTTTTTCATTCCTAAATATATCATAAATATTTCTTTGCATATAAACTGAAAATAACATTAGAGCGATGCTGCATAATTCTTCCAAGTAATCGGACGACTTGATCTTAGGATTAATCTTTCAAGAAATCGTTCAACTTCTGAAATAGTTCGTTTGTAATTTTCCCATTAGTATAATAAAAATCTAGTGAAATAATCTAGCGCATTCCATTCATTACATTAACGTTTTTATTATACGGGTACTTGCAATTTTATTTTTATTTTTTTGATTTGCACAGGCATTAGCACTCTTCTCTGAAACTGGTGCAAGCGTAGTTTAGAACTACAAATCTAAAAATCTTATGAACAAAAATACGTAAATTTGAAATTCTTCCTATTTTTTAAAACTTTTTAGAATTCTTCATTTTAACAACATGTGAGGCAAAACAATACAGACACAAAAAGTCAATCGCCTGTTTTTTTTATTTATTTATTTATTTTTTTAAATTTTAAATACTGGTTTCCGAAATTGCAGCTTCGGCTGTATATAGTAGAAAAATACGAAAGCAAGTTTCCCTCCCACTCCCTTTTACACTTCAACTAGGGGTTTAAAAACATTTTACTTTTTCCCCTCTTAAATATTTTGAGCATTTTCTTGCCAAGCANGTCCCTAAATATTTAAAAAACAAAAGAGCCCTTCTAAATATACAATGTTCCGATAATATGTGTTTTCTATACTGCGTCGCGGCATGTTTATTTCCCACGCGATTGAATCCTCACAGAGCTGCTCGATATAAACCTTATCTCAAACACCTTAAAGTAGGTGGTTTAAAATTTCCACTTAAACTTAATGATATAAAAAAATTTGAAAAACTAAATTCATTAAGAATTAACGTGTTTGGTGTGGAAAACGGTGAAATTTTTCCGTTATATGTTAGCGAAAAGAAAACTAAATTGATAGAAATCGATTTATTTTATCATGACAATCATTATTTTCTAATAAGAAACTTCAATAGCTTTTTATGTCCAAAGCGCAACCTAAACTACAGCTGCCGACGCTGCTTATCTAGTTTTCAAAGAGCCTCTACTTTGATTAATCATAAATCTTTATGTCAAAAGAATAAAATTCAAAAATTATCCATTCCCACAAACGATATCGTTAAATTTACAAATTTAACCAAAATGGTGAAACATCCTTTTTGTATATATTGCGATTTCGAATCTCTCACAAAAAAAGTTATCGGTCCGGGTCCCTCTTCGTCGACCAGTTATACATGGGAAATCGAACGACACGAAGCAGTGAGTTATAGCATACTTGTATTAGATAACGAAGACGATATCGTCTTTCACGAATATTACTCGGGTTCGAAAGTCGTTGAAAATTTTCTTATCACATTAAAAATGTTGACTTAGCGTTTACTTAAAATCATGCATACCATTTCTCCCATGGAAACAGAAATTTCAGAAAATATCGATCCAAACCACTGTCATATTTGTAAGAAACGATTTCTTCCCAGTGATATAAGAGTCAGAGATCATCAACATTTTAGTGTGGGTGTGATACGCGGATGGGCATGTCAGAGTTGTAATTTAAACTATAGAACGAGATATTTTATTCCTGTGGTTATACACAATTGTAAGAATTACGATGCCCACCTAATTTTAAAAAGCATACCTAAAGACTATGCTAGTGTCATAAACATAATACCAGTCAACATGGAAAAATTCACTATGTTTTCGCTCGATTCGCTCAAATTTATGGACTCCTTCCAATTTTTACCTAGATCGCTCGATGCGTTAGTAAACAATTTAATAAATGCCAATCATGAGTTTAAAATTTTCAAAACATTTTTCAAATCGAATGTTGATCGTCAATTTCTATTAAGAAAAGGAGTGTTTCTCTACAGTTATTTAGATGATCTAGAGAAATTGAACGATATTCATTTGCCGTCCAAAGAGTCCTTTTATAATATTTTGACTAACTCACCTATTTCGGATAGTGATTACCATCATGCAAAGTTGGTATTCCGAAATTTCAAATGCAAAAACATGAGCGATTATCTCGAACACTGATGTTGTTCTTTTGGCAGAAGTATTTTCAGCTTTTAGAAAAAATTCATTAAAGTATTATGAGCTCGATCCGGTACATTTTTTAACCACGGCTGAACTCACGTGGAATGCCGGACTCAAGTATACGAAAGTTGAATTGCAACTCTTGAGAAACGTCGACGATTATATTTGGTTGGAGTCCCGTATAACATATCTGGGAAAGAGGTACGTCAAAGCTCATGATCCCTATATACCAGAAACATATGATAGCACTAAAAAACACAATTTCCTAGTCGCGTTCGACGTAATAAATCTCTATGGTTATATAATGTGTCAGAGCCTACCGTTAGGAAATTTTTCATGGTTAAGTCGAGAAGAAGTTTCGAGATTTAATGTTTTTAATTACGATTGCACATCTAGGGTGGGTTTTATTATGGAGGTCGATTTGGAATACCCCACCTCCATTCACGATAAAACGAATGACTTTCCTCTAGCCCCAGAACATTTACAAATAACTTACGATATGTTGTCAAATCATTCAAAGAAATTATGCAACGAATTTAATTTAAAACATACGTTACCGTCAAAAAAATTAACTCCTAATTTGCACGATAAAAAAAAATTACATTACGCATTATTTAAACTTACGTTTTTATTTGGAACAGGGAATGGTACTTTAGAAAATACATAAAATAATGTCTTTTTCACAAACCCCCTGGCTTAGAGACTACATAAATTTTAACAATGAGAAAAGATTAGAGGCTCCAGATGAATTTAGTAAGGCCTTTTTTAAACTAATGAATAATGCATTCTTTGGGAGATTAATGCTAAACAAACGAAAAAGGATTAACGTAAAAGCTTCTCTAAGTGAGGCCAGGCCGACTGTAAGTTAAAACTAGCGAGCCCCCTCTTGGATTATTTTGAAGCAGTGAGCGATAACTTGACGATATTTAAAATGAAGCAAGCAAATCTAATATTAGACAAACCCATATATGCCGGTTTTGTTATTTTGGAATTGTCTAAATTGCATATGTATTCCCTGTATTACAATAACTTTAAAAATATATATAAATCTCATTGTNACAAAAACGAACAACTTTAAACTGAGTCAGAAAATATTTTCCATAGAAAAATCCGATCGATATTCAGCTCCGCTGCGAGTCTGAGTATCGATCGAAAAAACCGTTGCCACAGAAACTTTCGATCGAGCACCTTTTTTCTATGGCGATTAACATGGGGAAACGGACTGAAAGTGAGTCAGAACACGTCAGACTGAGTCAAAACCTCGCACATATATACTACTAACATTTCCTGTATGATGATTCAAAGATAGGCAAATTAGGGTGTCTAAAAAGCGAAACCATTTTGCCCATAAAAGAATTTGTAGGACCCAAAATGTACGTTTTTTCATACGGATCTGATTGTAAAATGACTGCAAAGGATATTAAATCGAGTGTCGTAAAGAAATATAACATCGAGCATTATAAATCGGTTCTGTTTCAAGAAGTCAGGGGAAAAACAATGTTCCATCATTTCCAAAAAACACACTCTCATGACAGTTGTTCAAAACTAAGTGGGGCTATCTTCCTATTACGACAAAAGATATGTTTTAGATAACGGAATAGATTCTCTGGCATACGGTCATTACAACGTACCATCGGATTCTGATTCAGAATAAAAGAAATTTAAAAAAAATTTAAATAAAAACAACATATAAACACTTTTAGATGTAGCAAAAATGCAATTTTGTTACAATTTTTTTACATGATTTTGACCGCTGGCGTCAAATGCATTTACTTTACGCAAAACCGTTCGATCCTGCTACAAACACTGCATATAGTTCTGCAAGACAATCATTCAATCCTGAGATTGTCAGGAGAAATATGAGGAAGCTGGAAGACATCAAGGAAGCGTTGAGGGGGAATCCTCCCACTAGAGAATCAGCGGAGGACGTCGCAAGGTTTCGACGTCCAACAAATAAAACTTACTGGTCTGAATTACTCAAACTTACTCCGAACATTACGGAAGACATGAAAGTAAAATTAGTGCAGTTACACAACGAGCGCCTAAGCCTCTCCCCTCATCACAATTCTGGATGATGATGTATAATTTTTTTTTAAAATCTATATTAACGGTAGTGGGTTTTTCATTTTTATTTTTGTATGTATCATTTGAATTATTTGTGTTTATATTGTTTTGTTATAATGTGTTTGAATTATTTGATCGTCTAAACGTCGCATCGATGCTCTGTTCGAGGATTCTCAAGACTTTACAACACTGTTAAAGGCTACGAAAAGAACCGGCATTCCAGCACTTCACCACGGTAAATTACCCAAGTTCGACCTAAACCTCGACTTGGAATATCCGGAGGAATATCCGCGGGTACCGAACTACAGCATAAACGTCGGGAAGGGACTGTTTATAGAAATCACTGAGTACCGCTCTCTGCAGTATATAGGCCTCCGAAAACCGGAGATAATAATTAGCTTTCGCAACAACAACAACAAAAAAACATTGATTTGTATCAAGTTCCGGACTTAGACATATTTTTCTTTTCTTTGGTATAAATAAAGAAACATCTGCTTTCGCGTTTATATCCTTTTCCACTCAGAACACGATTCTTGATTTAAGAAATAGTCATTTAAAAAATGGATGGTAGTATAGAGGAAAAAATCTGACGATCCCTCCGTGCTCTCTATAGGCAGTTACCGCCTGTCGATATGACGAAATTTCGTAACCATGAAGAAGTAAGTAAAACATACTATAACAAAATGGAGCAATCATTTTTAACAAAAATATTTTTTTTTGATACATCCTGTTTCGTTTATCATAGTATCAAAACTCCAATTAAGTATCATGATCGATAAATGCATTAGGAAATGGAAATGCCAACGGATGGTTCTGAGCAAATGATACAGACAATATATTTGCCCGAAAAGCTTTACAAATTAAACATCTACATCAGAATTTGAAAGGAAAGAATGTAGTTTTAAAAAAAAGTCAAGCTGTTTATGTGCCATACAGTCAGCACCATGGACTATAAAGCAATAGATGTGTTTCCCAGCCATGTGGTTCATGAAGTGAAGGCCTTGTGCTTGCCTGACAAGGTAGACCCTATGGAATCTGCCGCTAGATCTGGACATGTGACGGCCTTTGTTGCCTATCAAGAGCCCACACACCTTCGAGTGTTTTACATTTTGATCGAGGACTGGCTAACAAAACGGCATCGATTGGACAATTTCAAGAGATGTTTTGAATCCAGCTTGAAATGCAGCGCTGTGTCGACTGAAAAAATTCGTTGGGATAAAATTTCCAGGCATCTCTTGAGGGATCCTGACAAGGAAAAAAAGGACCACTCTAAAAATACAGACAAACGCATGGGATATTTGATTGAAAATGTGTTTATAGTCAAATACAAATTTACCTTTGGATTAAGGTAGGTGGAAGAGGATAAGCAGCACGTTTATCAAACGTCAGATGCACCCATTGTGTGTTACATCTTGCCAAAGCACGATTCCGATTCGACCAAAACTCGGCGATGTCTTGTTCACAAGGACCAGTACAGGTTTAAATTTTACATGTTTCTGCCGCATAAAAGGTACGTAGTGCCTCCCTGTACTCGCTACCTGATATTGACTTTGCAAAAGACATCCTTTTCGGTGGACATTATTCCTGCCATGATGGAGGTGAAAGATGCCATGGATTGGGGTTACCAATACCATGGACATACCAAACTTGAAAAGTCAAGGTGTTATGCTGTTCCTCCTCCCACACCTTACAGTTGCATGAAAAACGTGTTGTACAGCCCCTTGTTGTGCAACTGTTTCCTGGAGAGTTTAAAATTCCACAGATACCCCAAAAGCTTTCAGTGAATGACGAACCTCAAGGGGAACCCCAAGTGTTGGATGAAGCCAATTGTGATGTGCCTCAAACGTTGGATGAACCGATGCCTCAAGTACTTTGTGATGAATCCCAAGTGTCGGATATGCCTCAGGTGCTCTGTGATGAACCCCAAGTGTTGAATATGCCTCAGGTGCTCTGTGATGAAACCCAAGTGTTGAATATGCCTCAGGTGCTCTGTGATGAACCCCAAGTGTTGAATATGCCTCAAATGTTGGTGGAATCAGATGCAATGGATACGTCTCAGCTGTTGGTTAAATCGCAAGAGTCCCAATGCGTTTTTTGGTGTGGACTTTTCACTCATTGCACCAAAGGAGGATGAAGAATGGGACAATATCCAAGACTTTTTAAACAATTTTTCGGAATCTTTGGAGGTGTTGGATTTACGCACAGGTGTCAAACACGATAGAAGACAATATGCCTTTACTCCCAATAAACCACTGGATTTGTCAGTAAAAAAACAAAGGGTAATGTAAATCTTGTAAATTTAATTGTATTAAATATATTGTAAATTGTATTATAATATAACTTAAATAAATAAATACCCTGCTGGGGTATATTTTTTTAAAACCATTGTGTCATTCTTGAAAATTTCATTTCTTGTCACACTCAGAATGTCTTCAAAAACGTACTGGAAGTCCATACAAATCGAATGGAACCCAATGCGCATACATACAAAATTGCTTCAAATACGTACTGCGCATATCCAGGGTTCTTGCAGTGTTCCAAAAGTCGATCCAAATCGATTGCACCCCACTGCGCATACATAGCTATAATAGATTCTACTGCACATATCCAGGGGTTGATACAAATCGATTGGAATTTACTGCGCATGCCTCGCTATAATAGATTCTACTGCTTTCTGAAAGTATTGTCGCATCATAGCATTTCATCCCTTTCGGTACAAAATGACATCCGATATCGTTCGAATGAAATATCATGAGGAGGGCTACCCACACGCCGAACAATTTAATGTTTTTCTCGATAAAGTAACCCTCGTACTAAACGAAATTCGGGCTCTCGATATCGTCGCAATACCCGTTCGAATGCCATACACTAGAAGGTATTGTGTCTCATTTTATGATTTGTTATCTGAAATATATAATGTAACAGATATATGTTTAGCATTAGACGTTCCTACCTCTGCCGCTACTTTAGCGGAGTACGTAGGATCTATTGCATGGCGTGTGTGGTGTTATTTTGGCAAACATCGATTATTTTTAATGGCATTTGAGAAATGGAGACGGGAGGGCCTACAGCCCTTTATTCGCATTAATTGGGTAAGAATGACCCAAGAGTTAATCGATTTTATATACGCTCAGGATATGGGCGATTTTTTTTAGAGAGCCGGACAATTACTCTGTTTGTTTAGAGCAAATGTTCAGTCCTCAGCGACTAAATTGTGGCCATTATTTCCACTAAACGTGCATTATACAATGGATGCAGGTGGGTGATAACTGCCCATACTGCAGATCAGATTTACGTTAATTTCTTCTCTACATTTTTCATCCACATTGTTTATAAAAATTTAGACGGCTCATGCTGGAGCCTCTTCATCAAAAGCATGAGTCTTTTGCTTCTATTTGTCAACTTATGTTTATATTTTATTGACATTTTAATGAATATATTTCATCCATTATGAAATGATGAAAATGATGTTTAGAATTTAAATAATTAATAAATGTATTACGTCATATAATAATGTATAAATTAATAAACGTCATAAATGTATTAATCCCCTCTTTCCAAATCTATTTATCCTCTCTTTCCAAAACTATTGAATGTGTAGTTTAAATTTTATGTAATAAATATAATGCATAAATAAATAGATAAATACCCCGTTGGGGTATCTATTTTTTTAAACCATTGTGTCATTCTTGAAAATTTTATATCACTCAGAATGTTGCAACACTTTGTAATCACAACACATTTTGGCCAATCAGAATGCCTTACGTCATAACACTTCCTCCTTTTCGAGTATAATAGGGGACTCAGAGCCACTCCATTTCATATTCACCATGAGCTCAAATCTATTTTGCTTTTTGTACAATCGTTAGGGTTATCCTCATGCTGAACAATTTTCAGTCTTTTTAGAAAAAGTAAAGCGCGTGTTGGACAGCATTCAACCGCCAGATGTCGTTGGTCCATCTCCTCCTATGCCATTTACTAAACGGTATTGCGGATCGTACGTCTTTAACTTTTTATCCTCTGTGTATAACTTTGCTACATTTGTACACAAGCTGGATGGACCCTCATCACAAAATTGTGATGGACGATTATGAAGGATCCATAGCCTGGCGAGTTTGGCAATTTCAGGGAAAGTGCTTTCTCTGGAAAATGGCCATTGAAAAATTTAAAAGAGACGGAATTCAACCATTCATTTA